TCTCACAAACATACCACACTTCAGGGTGGTACCTTCCAAGGTGCCACAGTCTTCCCGTCCCATTAGTTGTCCACTTCCTCCTCTTCATTCTGTTCCTCTTCTTCCAGCCTTTCCTCGTCTTCCTCATTGTCCTCATCCCTGCTCTTGTCTTGCTCTTCTGCATCTGTTTTCTTGTCTTTGTCCTTCTTCTTTTGCTCTGAAGCTTCCTTTTTGCCTTTCTGCTCTCTCCTATATGCTGTGAGGAGGAAGGTGGGGGTGAGGGGGCAGGGCTGAACCCAACAGACCATAGCAGCCAACGCCACCGAAAGGCTGGGGCAGAGAAGAGCACATAACCTGCTCAGCATCACAGATCAGCTCTGAGGCGGCACCACCTGAACTGATTCTGAGTCACATCCAGTACTTGCTTCCTGTTCTTACAAGGACGCAAGCTGAGAAGACTCAGGGCTAGGTGAGCAGGTCACAAAGGATGAACATCTTTTACTTGGCTCTACAAAGGAAAGGGTCATTACCTTCCAGAGCTTCTTTCAACGGGGTAACGAACCTCTGGAACTCCATCTCTTCCATGGCCGAGAGCACGTCACTGGCATTCAGGGTCTTGCGTTTCCCTTTCATCGCGAAGTTGTTAGCACTAAAAAAAAAAAAAAAAAGATGAAAGGCCGTTGGGGGCCTGTCAGACCCACTCTTGTCCCGTAAGGGGTAGGAAGGGGGCACCAGAGAACCCTCCGCACTGAGGTAGAGCACAACTGTCGGGGTTTGAGGGATTCCAGACCGGGGGGGGGGTCTCTGCGGCTCCCTTATGCCCCAGGCCCAGCTAAGCTCTGGCTCGCTCAGCCCGCCTCACCACGAAGTGGCGTACAGCACGAAGACGCTGGCGGCGCGGGAGATGGCGCTGCGGGCCTCCTTGGAGATGTTGACACCGTCCGGGAGCTGTGAAAAGAGCGTGGGTGAGTAAAGCTACCAGCCCAAGACCTGCTTCCCCAGCGGCCAGCCCGTCCGCCCCTGGCCCATCCGCCAGCTACAGCTGCCCACCGCTTCCTTGATAATCCTGGTGATGACGGCATTGGGCAGGTTTAGGTCCTCGGGCCTCTCCGCCATTGCCGACGGAGCCGAGGCCCGCGCCTCCGTCTCAAGCCTCTTCCTCAGGCCGCCACGGCGTCCGGACTTCCCGCGTCGCCACAGTCTGACCCAAAGCGGCTTCCGTCCCGCCCCACGTCGCCCCCACTGTGTCCCATAGTGCACCGCGCGCCATAGCCGCCTTCTTCACCCAGCCCCGCCTCCGCCTCGAGTCGCCCATGCATCCAAACTTTCCACGTCGCAACGGATTTGGCCCTCCCGGGCTTCCGTCCGATCCCACCGGGACCCAGCGAGCATCCCTTCCCAAGCTCGTTTTCTCCCTTTTTGCCTCCACCACGTCTGGAGACGTCGCATCAGCTCAAGTATGGCTCACTGGAGCTTCCGTCCCTTCCCCACAGTGCTCTGCGCCGCTGCCTGGCAACGGCACTTGCCAGGCGGCTAGCTTGGGAGACGGAGGCGTGGACTGAGCGGACGGGGCGGGGCTCCTTCCGACGTAGGGCGGGGGCGGGATCCCACCACCTACACCACCTCTTCTAGGTGGCGGGTGGCGGCGGTCTCGTTTTCCCGGTGGGTTTGGGCTTTCCGGCAGTTTGGCTCGGACCTTGCTGGCGCTGCCCGCCGAGGCCGAACTCTTTTTCACTTCAGGCTTCTGGAACGAAGCGGGTATATTTTTTCAGTTCTGCGGGAACTGACGTCCATCTATCTTTTCACACCTCCCAACTTCGTAATAGTCGCATTAAGGATAATTGTCGCCTAGAATGGTTAACGCAAACTCCTTTGCCAGTACAGCGCTAATGCTGGTGACAGGAATGGGCATGACTAGACCTCGGGCCTCAGTTCGGGCTGGTCAGGTAGCGAAAGGGCAGCAAGCAGCTGGTTGTAAGGATAACGCGACATTGCATTCCATTAAAAAGCAAACCCTGTTAAAATTGTTTTTTTAGTTCGTTGACTTAATGCATCATACGTCTCAGTCAAAAGCATTAGCATGGTTTTGCAGTGGCTTTGGAGTTGTATCATTTTCATGTATGTGGGTAGAAATTGTCCTTAACCCCACTGAGCATGAATGCTTTTTTTCTTGAAACATACTGTCTTGTGTCACCCTTAACTTTCCTGCTTTTTATTTTTATTATTTAAGATTTTTATTTATTTATTTGACACACACACACATACACACACACACACACACACACACACACACACACACACACACAGAGGGAACACAAGCAGGCAGAGTGGGAGAGGGAGAAGCAGGCTTCCTGTGGAGCAGGGAGCCCCACGTGGTGCTGGATCCCACGACTGTGGGCTCATGACCCGAGCCACTCAGGCGCCCGTTTCCTGCCTTTTTTTTTTTTAAAGTATTTACTTATTTTGAGTAGTTCTACAGGCAACGTAGGGCTGGAGCTCAGGACCAGAGATCAAGGGTCACAAGCTTTACCTTTTGAGCCAATCAGGCATCCCAATTTTCCAGCTTTTGACAGGAGATATGAGTACAAATTCTTCCCTATTAGGAGAAAAACAACAGCAAACATGGTGATAAAGGGCAACTGAAACTGCATTAGTTAGCGATTATAGGGTTTGGTGGGGGAACTCTCCATTTGGAGAAAACAAGTCTGGTTTAAAGATACCAGGAGACACTCCCCTCTATGCAATTGCTGTCTAGTTGGAATTGGGACCCCTGCATTGTCAAATATTTTGATCTTTAAGAGGAACCAGAAATCCGAACACGGTGGACTATGTCCACTTTAAAAAAATAGCTGAAAATGCAGGCCAAACAAAACAAGTCACAGGGTAGGTGTGGTGCCATACCAGTAGTTCGTTATCTTTGGTCTAATTTATAAGTTGTTTAGAACAGTGACTTATTTTGTTCGTTACTGTTTTCTATGCCTGCAACAGGTCCCATCTCATATTTGGTAGTCAATAAATGTGTTGAATAAAAAGAAGAAGAAATGGATACTGTCCTTAAAAAGGGACCTGATGTCCACCTTTAATCTTTTCTCCCCTCCCAACTTTGTAATAATTGCATTAAGGAGCAGGTGGTAGTGATTGCCTAAACTATTTCTAGAGAGACAAAGATGATACTATTGAGCGCATATCATTATTTTTAAGATTTTATTTATTTATTTGACAGAGATCACAAGTAGGCAGAGAGGCAGGCAGAGAGAGAGGGGGGGAAGCAGACTCCCCACCGAGCAGAGAGCCCGACACGGGGCTCATTACCAGGACCCTGGGACCACAACCTGAGCCGAAGGCAGAGGCTTTAACCCACTGAGCCACCCGGGCGTCCCGCCCTTATCATATTTTATACATAAAAGTACATTATTTCTCTTAATGCTTCTACAATTCTACTTAGGGATTTCCTGTCCCCTCTTTATATGTGGAAACGAGCTGAGAGAGGGGAGATCACTTGCCTGCGACCATACAGCCAGTAGATGAAAAGCCAGAGGCCTCTAATGTCAGCGTAAGTCTACTGATCTACTGTTGGAGCAAACCCATTCATTTCTTGTGGGTATTTTAGCTGCCTGTGTGAGAATTGGAGCGTATTGAAAAATGAAGTATGTTTTCCAAAGGCGTGAGCTATCTAAAGCCATCTTAAATTCTGTGATTATATTAGTTCTGATTTGGAGATGGTAGTATGTTCTCCCTAATGATTAATGAAGGGGAAAAGGAAAAGGGTGCTAATACTTATTTTGAACTATATGCCAGACCTTTTAATATTCATTAACTAATCTTTGTTTGTTTGTTTTTAAAGATTTTATTTATTTATTTGACAGAGATCACAAGTAGGTGGAGAGGCAGGCAGAGAGAGAGGAGGAAGCAGGCTTCCTGCCAAGTAGAGAGCCTGATGCGGGGCTCACTCCCAGGATCCCGGGATCACGACCCGAGCCGAAAGCAGAGGCTTTAACCCACTGAACCACTCAGGCACCCCCATTGACTAATCTTTGTAATGATCCTGTGAAATAGGCTTATCCTCATTTTGCAGGCAAGGAACCTATAACTCAGATTGCTTAAGACCCTGGTCACTCAGCTACTAAATGACCAAGCAGGAGACTTTATGAAGTTAGTCTGCTCCAAAAAAAAAAAAAGGAAGTTAGTCTGTTCCAAAAACTTGCTATTCTACTTCATGCTGAGATGTTTTCATACTTGCTTGTTATCCAGTTTTTAAAAGATTTTAATTACAATATGGTCAACATATAGTATTGTAGTGTCAGGTGCACAATTTAGTGATTCAACAATTCTATATATTTCTTGGTGATCACCACAATAAAAACATTCTTCATCCCCATCACTTATTTCACCCTTCCTCCCACCCACGTCCTCTGTGGTGACCATCAGTTTGTTCTCTATAGTTGAGAGTCTGGCCTGTATCTTTTTTGTTTGTTTGTTTGTTTTGTTTGTTTCTTAAATGCAACATGAGTGAAATCCTTTATTTGTCTCTCCTCTGACTGACTTATTTCACTGAGCATTATACCCCCTGGCTCCATCCATGTTGTTGCAAATGCCAAGATTTCATTCTTTTTAAAGATTTTATTTATTTATTTGACAGAGAGAGAGATCACAAGTAGGCAGAGAGGCAGGCGGAGAGAGAGAGGGGGAAGCAGGCTCCTTGCCAAGCAGAGCGCCTGATGCGGGGCTCCATCCCAGGACCCTGAGATCATGATTTGCGACCATGACCTGAGGCTTAACCCACTGAGCCACCCAGGCGGTCCAAGATTTCATTCTTTTTAATGGCTGAGTAGCTTGTTACCCAATTCTTAATTATCCTGTGACCATAATTTATTTATATGCGTTCACTAGAAATATTTTATGCTTTGAATTCAAATCAAGATCTGGACTGCATGACTGATGTATAATACACTCTAATTGTATGGTTGTTACTTTAGAGGGTTAGAAAGCTACGAGATGGCTTTTGTACTAAACAATTTATAGCTATGGACTTGCCAGAGGAGAGCCAGTGGGATGAAACCACCTGCCAGCTGGCTGTTTGCCAGCATCCACAATGCTGGGCCACGATCCGCCGGATTGAGAGGGGCCACCCTCGAATCCTGGGCCCTCCATGCAAAACAGCTCTGAATGATGAAGGTGAATTAGTCAGCCCTACTTCTCCCTTACGAGATTCTTGAACTCTTTGTGTTTGGCTTCCTTTTGACCAATTGTGTGTTTTCTTCTGGTCTGTTTTCTCAGACAAACTTCCAGTGCTCACCACTGTAAACATGGCGGATTCCTGCCTCTGGGCCAAGAGACATGCTCATCATCATTTATCAGGATTTACCTTCACCAGACCACCTGCTCTACTATGTCCAGGTGTTAAGTTTGACTCCAAACTCCAAAGCAGGTAAATTAATCATGGAATCTTGTTTTTTGAGCCTCCTATCTCAAAATTCTGGGTTGACTTCCTTTACCTATGTAGTAGACTTTGAGAGAGCTGTATTTAAAAACAGTGGTTCAGTTAGAGCAAAAGGAAAGCATTAGTTGTGTTGTAGGAGTTGTTAGAATAAGGGTGTATTAGTTTGCTAGGGTCACTGTAATAAAGTACCCTCAACTGTATGGCTTAAACAACACAAATTTATTTTTTCAGTCTAGGGGCTGAAAGTTCAAGATTAGAGTGCTGATAGAGTTGTTTTCTTCTGAATCCTCTCTCCTTGGCTTGTAGGTGGCCATTTTCTCCCTGTGTCTTAACATGGACTATCTTCTGTGTGTCTTTGTCCTAATTTCCTCTTTTCCTTTTTTTTTTTTTAAGATTTTATTCACTTATTTGAGAGAGGGGGAGAGAGAAGCATGAGTTGGGGGAAGGGCAGAGGGAGAGGCAGACTCCTTTCTGAGCAGGGAGCCCAGTGGATGTGGGGCTCCATCCCAGGACCCTGGGATCATGACCTGAGCCAAAGGCGGATGGATACTTAACCAGCTGAGCCACCCAGATACCCTTCCTCTTTTTTTTAAAAGATTTTATTCATTTATGTCAGAGAGAGAGAGAGTGCACAAGCAGGGGGAATGGCAGACAGAGGGAGAAGCAGGCTCCCCATTGAGCCGGGAGCCCAATGTGGGACTCCATCCCAGGACCCTGGGATCATGATATGAGCAGAAGGCAGATGCTTAACTGACTGAGCCACCTAACCATCCCATTCCCTTCTTTTTTTTAAACCCTCCTACACTGTTGGGGCACCTGGGTGGCTCAGTGGGTTAAGCCTCTGCCTTTAGCTCAGGTCATGATCCCAGGGTCCTGGGATCAAGCCCCACATCGGGCTCTCTGCTCGGCGGGGAGCCTGCTTCCCTCTCTCTCTCTGCCGGCCTCTCTGTCTACTTGTGATCTCTGTCAAATAAATAAATAAAATCTTTTAAACCCTCCTACACTGTTGATGGGAATGCAAGCTAGTGCAGCCACTCTGGAAAACAGCATGGAGGTTCCTCAAAAAGTTGAAAATAGAGCTACAGCAATCATACTACTGGGTATTTACCCTAAAGGTACAAATGTAGTGATCTGAAGGGGCATGTGCACCCGAATGTTTATAGCAGCAATGTCCACAACAGCCAAACTATGGAAAGAACCTAGATGTCCGTCAACAGATGAATGGATAAAGAAGATGTGGTATATATACACAATGGGATACTATGCAGCCATCAAAAGAAATGAAATCTTGCCATTTGTGATGATGTGGATGGAACTAGAGAGTATTATGCTTAGCGAAATAAGTCAGTCAGAGAAAAACAATTATCATATGATCTCCCTGATATGAGGAAGTTGAGAGGCAACGTGGGGAGTTTGGGGGTAGAAAAGAAATAAATGAAACAAGATGGGATCGGGAGGGAGGCTCTTAATCTCACAAAACAAACTGAGGGTTGCCAGGGAGAGGGGTGTGTGGAGAGGGTGGTTGGGTTATGGACGTTGGGGAGGGTATGTGCTATGGTGAGTGCTGTGAAGTGTATAAACCTGGTGATTCACAGACCTGTACCCCTGGGGCTAATAATACATTGTATGTTAATAAAAAAATAAAAAATAAAAAAAATAAAGTTTTTAATTTTAATTCCGATATAGTTAACACACAGTGCAATATCAGTTTCAGGTATATGATAGAGTGATTCAACCATTCTCTACATTACTCAGTGCTCATCATGACAAGTGTATTCTTAATCCCTTAATTTCCTCTTTTTAACAAGAACACCAGTCATACTGGATTAGAGCCTGTCTCTATGACTTCATTTTAACTATTTACCTCCTTAAAGACCCTATCTCCAAATACAATGGGACTCAAATTCTGAGGTATTGAGGGGTAGGATTCAATGTAGGAATGTGGGGGGCACAATTCAGCCCACCACAGGGGGTATCTCATCAGCCTCTGCAGGTCATCTGAGCATGGTGTCCACACACACTATTTTCTTATCCTTTATTTTTAGGTATAAAACTATTCATAAGCTCTTGAAGGCAGAAGCAGTGGTTTCCTTTTGAATCTCCTACAAAGCCTAGGCATCCAGTTAGAGCACGTTGATATGGGAAGCTAAGGGACAGGGATCTGCAGAAAACTTAGACTTGAAACATTTGGAACCCACGTAGTTTGGAAGCAAGGCACACCTAGAGGCCCTTGTAACGGATCCTTTTCTCCCATTTGATATAAACAGCCTTTGGTGGTTTCCGCTAGGCTAAAGACAGTATGGGAAAGGGTAGGACTACTTTCTGGTTCTCTGGACTTGAACCTTGGGAAGAAGGTGGCTTCTCCCAGTCAGGGCCTATGAAGGCAAAGACCATGACTTCACTCGTGTCATCTCTCATTGAATTCACAAATGTGTCTTGGTGGGGATCACTTTGCTGGGCTCTGTGGTAAACGGATTATAGTCTTTACCCCCAAAGGGCTTTCAGCCTTGCTGGGGAGGCAGAGAACCGTCCCATGTGATGAGCGTGGATAGAGGGGAGGGCCCCCCCCCCCAGGTGTGTGGAAGCACATGGGATGGAGTCCTCACCCAGGCCACTGTCCTGAGCGCCGGTAGCACATGAACCTGTGTACTGAAGTGGGAGCGGTCTGGTGAAGGGGGACTTGCAGGTGGGAGGTGGCTGTGAGGAGAGTTCTAGACTATTGAAAGAGCATATGCCAAGGCCTGGAGGAAAGAGGAAGTTCTTTAGGTGCCAGGAGAAGAGTTCCTTGTGCGTGGAACATAGAGCAGGAACGGGAGAGTGGTCAGAGCTGAGTCTGGGGAGCTGGAGTAAAAAGCACATAAATCAGGCTAAGGAGTTGGATCCTTATCTTATACTTCTTTGCTATATTTATTTATTCCTACACTTAATACGGTTTTTAAAAAATAAATATAATAGCAGGTGATATGAAATGTAAGGAGACAGGTTTTTTTCCATAATGTAAAATTTACCATTTTCATTGATTTTAAGGATACTGTTCTGGGGCATTAAACACATTACAGTGTTGTGCAACCATCCCCACCATCCATTTCCAGAACTTCTTCATCATTTCAAACAGGAACTCCATATCCATTGAATAGTGACTCCCCATTCCCTCCTCCCTCCAGCTCCTGTTAATGTCTCTTCTACTTTCTGTCTGTATGAATTTGCCCATTCTATTGTATGACTCCTGTAAGTGGAGTCATACAATAGTTGTCCTTTTGTGTCTAGCTAGCTTATTTCACTTAGCATAATGGCTTCAAGTTTCATCTGTGTTGGAGCATATATCAGAATTAAATTTCTTACTAAGGCTGAAAAATATTCCATTATATGTAAATACTACGTTTGGTTTATTTAACATGCTCTGCACGTCTGCAGCGAAGGTACTCTGTCAGCTTGTCTTGGTGACATATCTGTCTGTCGTTGGAGAGAGAGAGGCACAGGCCCTGCATTCAGGTTGATGCAACAAATAGTTGTCAAGTGTTTGCAGTGTACAGTGTCTGTTTGGGAGCTATTCCAGAACAGACAGGCAGAACTTAAGCAAATGGGGAGATGCTACATTCATTTGGAAAGTATTAAGCCCCAGGTTTTCTGTGGATAAGCAGAAGGCTTTTCCTCATAGCACTAACTGCCATCCCCATAGCTCTTTTGTGTCTCCGTGTCATGTTCGGAAACTCATTTTTTAGGCCTCGGAAGGACTTACCTGACAAAGATTTAATCGACCGTCCCGATAGATCTCCTAAAGTAAGTCACAGATTAAAAAAGGTACTTCTTCAGCATTTCCTCTTTACTGATGGGAATAAAACATTTGCCTCTGTTGAACATTCAGGATGACTATAATCTGAATAAGGATAATGGTAACTCTCTAACATCGGGCCCTTAAGTGTATGCTAGGCTCTGTCCTAATGTCTTTACGTGCTATACTGTTTCCGGAAATCCCAGATACCGGTGGCACTGATGTGTGCCTGTTTGGCATAGGTTAAGACTTTTCTGTCTGTATTCTGCATACAGCATGTTCAGCTGCTAAGTAAACCCTGTCATCATATGGGGAAATTAGAACGCTGGAATGTAACACCAAAAGTGGGCCTTCAGGTCATCTACTCTGATGACTGTCAGTCTTTCTGTTATGACCTACAGTAAGAAATACATTTTACAACAAAATAGCATAGAACAATCTTTATCCTAATTACGAGTAATGCACTCTGATATTTTCTGTCCTATTCTATTTTGCCTTTTTTTTTTAAAGGACAGAGAGAGTGTGTGCATGTGAGCAGGGGAGGGACAGAGGGAGAGGGAGAAAGAATCCTAAGAAGGCTCCACACTCAGCATGGAGCCCAGTGCGGGGCTTGATCTCATGACCCTGAGATTATGACCTGGGCCAAAATCAAGAGTCAGACAATTAACCGCCTGAGCCACCCAGGCGCCCCTCTGTTCTACGTCTAAGCAACGTAGGCTACAATTCACAAAATTTGATTCCATGACCTATGAATTAGTTGGAGTTGCAACTGAAGGACATTCCTGTGGTCTGTCTCATAGGTCTTGCAGTTGACAAAACTGAGGCCCAGATAGGGAATTGATTTGCTAAAGCACATAGCTAGTTAGAGGCCGAGCTAAGTTAAAGTTTAGGAAGAAAAACCCTTCCACTTATCTACAATAAAGGGAGATGTACTCTTCTTTGCAATCTTACGGATGCCTTTTATTTGTTTCAAGAGATATTTCACCTTTCACTGTCACCTGGTGGAGAGTGTAAGGGACGGAGAGAGAGAGGGTAGATGTGTCTGAATGGACGAATGAACAAATCACTCTGCTCTTTGGCCTCTTTAGAATAAAGGGTTAGATTAAATTCATTTTAAGATCATTATTTGAATGCACATGGCTCAAAATTCAAAAAGCATAAAAGGGTTTACAGTTCAAAGAAGTCTCCCCTATTTCCTCCAAGCCAATCAGTTCCTTTTCATAAGGACAACCCTATTTTTAAAAAAATGTATTTATCTATTGGGGGAGGGGAGTGAGCATGCAAGCACGGGGGAAGGGCAGAGGGAGAGGGAGAGAGAGAAAGAATCTCAAACAGACTTCCCACTGAGCTCAGGAACTCAGAACCTGAAGCGGGACTCAATCCCAGAACCCTGAGATCATGACTTGAGCCAAAATCAAGATTCGAGCACTTAACTGACAGCCACGCAAGCGCTCCACAACCCTATTTTTATTAGTTTTTTTTTTTCCCCCCTTCCCTATATCCTGCCATGGGTAGGGACTAGATAATTTATAAGGTTTCCTTGAGCACCACTGTTCTGAAATCTTAAATGACTGAGCATGAGAAGTGTTGTGACCTTAACTTTCCTGTAGACACCTATAATTGTAGACAGTCTGTAAAAGCAGAAAACTTGCTTCTGTCCCTGCCAATTCCCTCGCTGTTCCCAAATTGTATTGTGTTATCTGCATGGGATCTAAGTGTTTGGAGTGGAGGAGGCAGAATGAGTAGTGTTCCCTTAGGTAAAGCCCAAGCTCCCCTCTAGGGGATGGGGTGGGAAGTCGCTCAGCACCGCCCTAATGTCACAGGGAGGCAGGGGACACTATTCTCTTAAAATGCTCCCTCTTGCAGAGTACCTCTCGGTGTCTGGTTTCTTGGGGAGTTGTTATGAAGGCAATCTGGGGATGAGAAATGTCCTTTTGTCTTTTTCATTAGCGTGGTGATTCAGTTCTTAGGCCGATTCTGAATACCATCAGGAGCCGGTACCTTCAAGCCATACATAGGCTTTCCATCTTTCTCTTAGCTTTCAGTGCTGAATTTGAATGAGACACAACTTCCCAGCCCTCAAGATGTTAGAAATATGGTTGTAATCTGGATCCCAGAACAACCAGAGAGGCACGTGAGGTGAGTATTGTGTCCAGAACTTGGGGGCCTTCCACCCTTGCCTTCTGCAAGTCCCTCCTGCCTCGTGTGGGTGTCCCATTTGTGATCTCCTTTTTAGCCGCCTCATTGCAAGTAATAGGAGGCCAACTAGAGAAGAAGGTCATGGTCTCTTATATTTGCCTCTTGCTCCACTGGGGTTTGAGTTAATGCAATTTGTGCTTCCTGCAGCGGGGCTTCTCCACATCAAATCCTCCATGGCAGGAAATAGCATTCGAGGTCGCGCCTGTGTATTTGTGAGCTCTAAGAAACAGTTGCTTCCTACCAGTCTCTCTGTTTGTCTGTCTGTCTTTCAAATTTTATTTTTTCGAGAGAGAGATTGAGATAGCGAGAGAGAGGGCACAAGCAGTGAGGAGGGACAGAGGCAGAGGGAGACGCAGACTCTCTCCTGAGCAGGGAGCCCCGTGTGGGACTCAGATCCCAGGACCCTGAGATCATGACCTGAGCTGAAGGCAGACACTTAACATACTGAGCCACCTAGGCGCCCCTTTCAGTTTCTCTTATTAGCCATCCCCAGCTCTTGAAAACATTTTCAGTAAAGCACTTGAATCTTCGGTCTCAGCCCCAAGGCCTAGAACAGTGGCACAAGATGAACGGCGTGTAGAACTTGTGCACAAAGGAGGAGGAGCATTTGGTGAGGGCCCAGAGGCTTGCTCCTACTGAGAACCACTGGAAGAAAGTGTTTGGTTTTTCTTCCCTGAATGCTGAGGCTTTTGGATTCTTGTTAAGTGACTATGTAGATATGATGTGATTTAAGAATTTCTTCTTATTTTATTTATTTATAAGATTTTATTTATTCATTCATGAGAGACAGAGAGAGAGGCAGAAGCAGAGGGAGAAGCAGGCTTCCCAAGGGGCAGGGAGCCTGGTGTGGGACTTGATCCCAGGAGCCTGGGATCATGACTCAAGCTGAAGGCAGACACTTAGTTATCTGAGCCACCCAGGCGCCCCCTTATTTTATTTTTTAATGATCCTGTCAGTGCTTCTGCATATATGCATGTGTGTGTATATGTATGATATAAACAAAAAAAAAAACCTCCTAAAGGTTTATTTCCTTTCATGTAAATAAAAAAAGCCCAGACTTGGGTGGGTCACAGCTAGCACCTCAGCTCCACAAGATCATCAGAAAACAGAACTCTTTCTGGCTCTCTGGTCATCATCCTTAGCCCGTGGCTTTCATTTTCTAGGGTGTCTCATGGGGGCTTTGAAGGTCTAAGTGGACAGCTAGAGCTCCAGCCCTCTTACCCGGGAAGATGACAGAGCAAAAAAAACTTGAGCACCTCCTCTGGGCTAAGCTGTGAGAATCTAGTGAAGAACCAGACTTGCTCCCTGTCCTAGAGTGTGTGGGGGGATCCAGGCCTTACAAACATCACCACATGGAAGTATATAATTACTAATTTGGATTAATGCTGTGAAAACAAGTTACCGGACTGTAGGAGAGAATGGCAGGGAACCTCATGTAGATGTGAGGTCAGGTCTTGTTTCTCGCAGCTTCTGGGCAGGTGGTTCCTCCAGGCTTTCAAACAGCCATCTTTGAGCACGGAAGAGAGGAAAGACATCTCCATGATCATCATTCACAAATATCCTCGGTGCTTCTATGTGAGATGTCGGGGAATAAGTTGTGGTTGTTCTTGTTTCAAGTCCCGCTGAGAAGAAGCCTGTTCTTCCCAGCCAGGACTGGATGAAGAGGAGAATGATCTCTACAACGGTAAGTTCCATGTTTTGGTCAAACCTTTATGAGATTACTCTGTAGAATTTTGTTTTGTTTTTCCTTTCAGGTACCTTCCTCCATTCTTTTTAAATGAATAAAATTTGCAAGAGAAACCCCTTTTAAGGAATTACCGAAGTATTTTCTATCCAGGGTCTCTCTTCCCTACTTCCTCCCTGTAGAAAAGTTAGGAGGAAGCCCTTGGATATTCAGGAGGAATTTTCAACAAATTAAAGACAAATTCCCCGTGAGATAGAAAGAGAGCTTCAGTGGACTAGGGTTTATAGTGGACTTGGGTTTCTCATTCTCCTGCCACCATTTATGGGTAAATGTAACCTTGGGTAAGTCACAGAGCTGGGAGGTGGCTACATCCATGAGAGGAGTGTCTTGGTCCACTTGTTCGTTGCTGAATCCCCAGTCCTAGCCCTATGCCTGGCACATAGTTGGCCAACAAATATTTGTTCAGTTTGCTCAGTGAATGAATTAATAACCTTTTTGGAAAAAAAACCCCAAAGAATGAATGCTTGTATGATCTAAATTCAACCATGGGGTGGGGAGCCAGAGAGGGAAAATATGGCGGCCTTCTTAGTGCAAAGGAGGGGTTGCCGCTGGAGTGGGTCTGGAAGCAGGGAGTTTAGCCTGCTAGGGTTATGTCTGGGAAGCTGGGATGTTGATGGGAAGGAGTGGCACTGAAGAGATTGCTTCATTTCCATTGTTCCTTTCTAGAAAGATGGTTGGCTCTCCAGAAAGCAGAAAACAGAGACACAGTTGGGGCCTCCAGGGATGATTGTGCCTCCCCCCTCGCCCATACAATTTCTTGAGCAACAGTCTGTACCATTCTGGAACCAATTTGACATGTTACCTCAGGATCTACTGAAGGAGTACGTATTGGGAGAGCAAGGGTACCTGCTCTTCTCTGAAGCAGAGACACCACTAAGTAGCATGCTCTTTCCGAGGAAGGAGGGGAGAAAAACTCCCCCACTCCCCCGCTTGTTCAATGAGGTCTTAGACTTACCAATGTACAGTGGTGACAGTAATTACTGCTATTTACCAAGTGCTTATCATATGCCAGGCCCTGCACTATAGAAACACATTACATCTGTTCTCTTACTTGAATCTCCAGTAGCTGCTATTCCTCTCTTCTTCTCCTTCTTCTTTTTATTTTTTTTTAAAGATTTTATTTATTTATTTGACAGAGAAGGAGTTCACAAGCAGGCAGAGAAGCAGGCAGAGAGAGAGGGGGAAGCAGGCTCCCTTCTGAGCAGAGAGCCTGATGTGGGGCTCGATCCCAGACCCTGGGATCACGACCTGAGCTGAAGACAGAGGCTTAACCCACTGAGCCACCCAGGGGCCTCTCCTTCTTCTTTTTAAAGTGAGCTCTATGCTAGAACTCACAACTCTGATATCTAGATTTGCATAGTCTGCTGATTGAGCCAGCTAGGCGTCCCCACGCTCTTCTTTTTTAAGTGAGTTTTGGATAAGTGGGAGGCAGGAGGGAAATGTGGCTTGGGGGGTGCCTGGGGGGCGCAGTCAGTCAAGCATCTACCTTGGACTCAGGTCTCGATCCCAGAGTCCTGGGATCAAGTCCCGCATCGGGCTCCCTGCTCAGCAGGGAGCTTGCTTCTCCCTCTCCCTTCTGCCCCTCCCCCTGCTTGTGCTCTCTTTCTCCCTCTCTGTCAAATAAATAAATAAAATCTTAAAAAAAAAAAAAAAGAGGAAACGTGGCTTGGAGTGAGCTAGCCTTTGAACTTCGCATTGAAGCTTCCTGGTTTTGTGCTTTTTGGTAATCTAGCATCTTTAATGCTTTAATGCACTGTTTGCAAAATGGGGATAAGAACACCTGTCCTTGGCAAACTGAAAGGTGTTACCCAATGAGCACCTGTTGGCATAGACCTTTTCAGGCCCAGAGTGGAAATTTATTCAAATTTGGAGCCCTTTTCATCCCTTTTTCTTCAGCCACGCTCTCCAGGAGGAACTGTTGCTGACTGGCTGTCTCTGTCCCCTTCAGCCTCTTGCCTAATGAAGGGAAGACCATGCCTTCTCTGGAGATGAGGACACAGTTGGCCATGATGAAGAAGAAAGCTCCCCTGGAAAAGAGTCGACCCGACAATGCCATTTCTGCTAAGATGTTCTTAACCGTACACCGCCTCACGCTGCAGGTGAGAGCTAGGGAGCCTCAGAGAAAGGTCTAGATGTTACTCCAAACTCAATTCTCTTTGAGGCTGGAGGGGTTAACACTTTCTTCTTTCTCTCTACTCTTCCATGCTGGACCCACGCCCCACGGAAGGGCTGGGCTATATGTAGGTGAAAGCAAACATGCGAGGAGAGGTTTGAGGAACGTTCTCTTTCTCCTGCACTTTGTTCCCCTCTCCGTTTCCTCTCTCCAGAGCCCCTGCTATAAGGCTGCGTGCACCTGATTCTTAGACAGTTCTGGTTGGCTACGTGGGTACCTGCATTTGAGGGATTTGTTTTGGGAAAAGGAAATACCTTTAGTAGAGCTTTTCTTCTTCTTTTTCTTTTTTTCCCCTTCCAGAGACCAGCATTGAGATATCCTAAACATTCAAAGAAATTATATCACAACCTGAACACAGAAGGTAGGTCTTCTGGTGCTGCCAGGTCCTCAGCTACTGTCCTGTCAGCCTGCAGTTCTCATACTTGGTGTGGGTCTCAGTTTGTTATGTCTGTGGCCAGAGTCATACAGGCTCCCGTGCAGGACTCGGGAAACCGCGGGTTCAGGAGGCAGCCCCCCTTCCCCACCACAGATGGCTTGGTTCTGTCAGAGAGGGTGTCACCACTGTGGATCAGGGCCCAGCAAGCAGCCCCGGGGAAGGTGGGTGCTGTCAGGGAGAAGAGGACCGAGCCGGTGCTCTGGTCACCAGGTCACAAGAAGCAGCAGCAGTGGCAGCAGAAGCAGCCGCAGAGGAAGGTGAAAACCCCGCCGAAGAGTCAGGTAGAGAGGCCATGAGGGAGGCTGGAGGTCCGGCTGGGAAGGGGTCAGGGGGCGCAGCCTGAATGGGAAGGGGTGGATGAGGCGCGAGTCTCCCAGTTCTCTGCCTGGTTCTAGATCCAGAGTTCCTGTCTGCTTAAAGACACTAACTTCCTTCTTTTAGACTCTTTTTGAAATGTTTTCTTCACTTCCGAATATCCTAATTCGGTTCCTTCTCATGTGGGTTTCAGGAGGCTAAAAAGAAATCCGAGAGTGATCTGGGGAGTCAGGACAATTTGCATAAACATTCTGGTGCCGTGGTGTATGGCCCACGCTATGGTAAGGAGAATACGGGCTTGGGAGGGACGGGATCCCAGGATGTAGCTGAGGGCAGGAAAAGCCGGACACATCCGTCATTTTGGGACCTGCCTTCATCAGGCATTCAGAATTCTTCTCGGAATGTTCTGGCTTGCCTGGGCTACCATGCATCATCCTTCCATCAAACATTTACTAAGGAAGCAAGCTGGGCCAGATGTCTGCTTCATGTGGGCATTCGAGAGATGACCGTGAGCGTGAGTCAGAGTCATTTTTCCTCAGGTCTTACTTTAGGAAAGGCAGAGTGGTTTGAGAATGAAGAGCAAGCAATGAGACAGGAAAGAGTCCAGCCCCCCCCTACCCCCACCCCAGCCACAAGTTAGTCTCTGGGGGCTCCGGTTGAGATCAGCACAGTATCTAGATCCCTTCTGGAGGCAGGAGGCTAATTCTTGACAGGCAATTCTTTTCTTCGGGTGTTCATGCTGAAGACCAGAATAGGTAGCTCCCCTTTTTGGAATCTTTATCATGCATCTGAGCTGAAGGATATACTTATTCTTTTTCTTTTTAATTTTTTAATTTTTTAAATTAACATATAATGTATTATTAGCACCAGCAGTACAGGTCTGTGAATCGTCAGGCTTACACACTTCACAGCACTCACCATAGCACATACCCTCCACAGTGTCCATAACCCAGCCACCCTCTCCCTACCCCCTTCCCCCCAGCAACCCTCAGTTTGTTTTGTGAGATTAAGAGTCTCTTATGGTTTGTCTCCCTCCTGATCCCATCTTGTTTCATTTATTCCTTTCCTACCCCCCAAGCCCCCATGTTGCCTCTCAACTTCCTCATATCGGAGAGATAATATGATAATTGTCTTTCTCTGATTGACTTATTTCACTCAGCATAATACCCTCTAGTTCCATCCATGTCAGATATACTTATTCTGGTCCCTCTGATGTTGCTCAGGTTTTGTTTTGTGTGTGTGTGTGTGTGTGTGTTTAAGATTTTATTTATTTGTCAGAGAGAGAGAGCTCGGGCAAGCAGGGGGAGCAGCAGGCAGAGGGAGAAGCAGGCTTCTCAGTGAGCAAGAAACCCAATGTGGGACTCAATCCCAGGACCCTGGAATCATGACCTGAGCCAAAGGCAGACATTAACTGACTGAGCCCCCCAGGTGTCCATGATGTTGCTCAGTTTGAGTGCAGAAAAAAAAAAAGAAAGTGGGGAGAAAGGATCCCTGAAACCTTAGAAGCTTCTTTGGCTCTACTCAGAGTGGACCTTGCTTACTGCTTCCTCATCAGATTTTATTGATTTATTTGAGAGTAAGAGAGAGAGCACAAGAGATCCCAGGACCCCAGATCATGACCTTAGTCAAAGACAGACTCTTAACTGCCTGAGTCACCCAGGCACCCCGGGAAGATGTTCATTTAGAGAAAGGGAATTGAGAAAGGAGAGGATGAATGCATTTAGGGACTAGTTGGGGAAACAGCCGATGCAGAAGAATCAGAGAACCAGAGCTTTTGAAAGGAAGGGGTTTCATTTTCAGAGGTCAGTATGGGGACATTTGGGTTGGTTCCAGAAGGTAAGAGAAGTCTTCATTAACTGAAAACGTAGGATTAGAGTTTGTTTTGGTTCCCTGATGTACAGATATCTGCCCCCTCAGTTTCTTGGAGAAATCCTAAGTCTCTCTCTCTTTTTTTTTTTTCCTAAGTGTTTTAACATACACTTGACCTTAATCTCTAATTCTGTGATACATGTGTTCACAGTCTCAGGTGAACAGAGTCACAAAGAGAACTCAGAGGCCCAACTGCCTTTCACCTCTTCTAACCTGTCTCGTCCTGGATGTGGAGTCACTTGCAGGCTAGGTCTCAACTAGAAGCCCAGCGGTGGGATATGAAGTACCAGTAAGAAGAGAACTGAATTGACTTTGTGCTCACTAGGTCACAGAACTCTACGAAGCCAAGAAAGTGACAAAAAGCAGCCACAGCAGACAAAGTCAGAAGGACCCACCTTGAGAAAGGTAAGAGCACTGGAGCCATTCCGAATGGTTTCAGTTCCCTGTTACTGTATAGCACACCACCTCAAAGCTGACACCACTGTAGCGGGTTGTTCTTCGGATTCTGAAGGGTGAGTGGCCAGATTTTCTAGTGTTTCTTGATGTCACTCACGCAGCTGCCTTCAGGTGGCTGCTGGGGGTGAGGGGCTGTTAGCCAAATTGTCTGAGTTCTCTTTTATGAGGTCTCTTCATTGTGCCTCACTTGGGGTTCTTGACAGTGTGGTAATCTCATGGAAGCACTTCCTTGAGAGAGAGGGCTGGAACTGAAACAATGTCATTTCTGCCACATTATATTGGTTAAAAAATCCCAAGTCCAGCCCAGACTCAAGAGGAGAGAAAACAGACTCCATCTCTTGGTGGGAGGAGCAGCATGTGCATTCAGGACTGAGAAGAATTGTTGGTGGCCACATCTGGAGGCCATCTACCTTCAGTTGACAGCTGGTAATGGGGGAAAGTGGGTTCTGGCTTTGTCTGGTCAGCCTGGAGGACAAAGAATCTGTGATACAGCCTTCTCTCTTTCGTCTCAAGAGGTGGCATTTTGTCCTGTCGTAGATGTTAATTTTTCTAAGAGAAGCATCTCTTAGAAAATCTTTTCTTTCTTAAAGTCTTGATTCAAGTTTCCTTACACTTACTCCATTGGATTTCAGGATTCCACAAAGAGGCCCCAGATGGAATACTTGGAGAATCATCTGGATTCCTTCGCCGGTAAAGATGGTAAGTTACTAGGGTGGAGGAACCTCAGTAAGTCACTCAGGCCAGGGAGAGCTGAACCTGTGTTGACAAGGATGGTTCACCACCCTGGACGCCAGAGTTCTATTCCTTCAGAAGGGTCCTAAAGACACGCAGCCCTTCCTTCTCTGTCCTCCATTTGTCGTGGTTGGGAGAGGCTGCAGGTGCAGTTAATGGCTGGGTCTTCTTTTAGATCCCAAGTTATCCAAGACAGAACCCTCTAACAAGGACATCAGCGCTCAGGAGTGGGTTGTGCTGGAATCCCAAGACAGGAACTCAGAGGACCTCTCAGACGATACATCTAGAAGGTGGAACCCTGAGCTCAAGCTCCTGAGGATTCTTCAGGCCACTGATAATGAGGATGAGGAGGACCAGCTCTCCGAGTCACAGAGTGAAGAGTCTTTCTAGACCTCAGAGGACAACCTTATTCCAGAGAAAGATGCTTGAAATCCTGGGGACAGAGACCTTGGACATACAGAGAGAAAAGAGAGGGGACTTCTGCTCTTGGGAGCCTTCATGAGGGCCTCACTGTAGGGACTCTGCTTTCTTCATTCACTTCTCCTTACCTCTAAAATCAGTGAGGGAGAAAAAGCCTCCCCCTTTTTAAACTGAGGTTGTTTCTCTTTCATTAGGGCAGAAAAATTTTAGTGATTAAACACCACTGCTTAAGGAAAAGGCTCATTCTGTTCCTGGGAGGATGGGAGAGATATTTCTGTGGATGTGTTTTCTGGGTCACTTTTATCTCCCTTCTGGAGCTCTGAAAGGTTTCCAGTCACAGGAAGATGAGTTTTGGGACACCTGGCTAGCTCCTTCCATTGGGCATGCAGCTCTGGATCTTGAGGTTGTGAGTTCAAGCCTCAGGTTCTGCATAGAGATTACTGGAAAATTAAAAAAAAAAAAAAAAAAAAAAAAAAAAGAAAGATGAGTTTGTCCTGTGGGAACCCATACTGTGTTCCTAGCTTTTCCTCTCAGTCTCTGGAAATGGCTTCTCTCGAGGTTGGCACCCAATAATCATTATCAAATGGTATTTGTATTAGCCCGAAAGAGTCTGAAGCTCCAGCTTCCACATTACTGAGTCTGTGGGAATGTTTCAGTGATGCTCGTAAAGACTCAACATTTCAGAGTCTCAGGAGACCTTGGATTTGGTTTTTGTTTTTGATTTTGTTTTTTTTTTTTAGATTTATTTATTTATTTGACATAGAGAGAGATCACAAGTAGGCAGAGAGGCAGGCAGAGAGAGAGGGAAGCAGGCTCCCTGCTGAACAGAGAGCCCGATACGGGGCTCAATCCCAGGACCCTGAGACCACGACTCGAACCGAAGGCAGAGGCTCAACCCACTGAGCCACCCAGGCACCCCCGGATTTGTTTTTTGGAAAGATTTTTTTTTTCCCTGTTTCTGTCCTTGAAGTTTTTAATATAGAAAATTTTTTCAAAATTACCTAAAAGTCAAGAGAATAATATAATGGAAGTCTCACATACCCAGTAGGTTAGATGCAGGCAATGAAGGCTCTTGACCCGGGCCTGTGGCCCATGAGCTGCGGTCAAGGCAGCTGGAGCCCATTATTCTCACCAGCTCTGGATGTAGGGTCAAGTCTCCTTCCCATAAGTGGGAACTGGGTGGAAGAAGAGAGCCCTGACCACTGGTGGTATCACTAGCACTTAGCCTCAGCCACCAGTAGTGGCGGGCAGGATGCGCTATGATGACATCTGTCCCTCCTGGGGAGAACACCCCTCTGCCTTGGAGCAGGGGAGGAAGCCCTTTGTTCTTGGGCAGCAGCGGTCTGGAGTAGTTTCTGTCTTGTTGAAATTGGGGTGGGGACGGGGAGAGCATGGCTCTAGGGTCACAAAGCATAGACTCAGTTCCTACCGAGCTTTTGTAGATTTTCTTAAACAATTTGCTCTGTGCTCTTAGGGTCATTTTCAGAGGCATAAACATATTTTTAAAAATAATTTTCACTAGTTTCACTGAATAGCAGTCTGTGAACTTCTCACACTCTTATGACGGAAGTGGAACTCAGGACTGGGCCTGACATCTTTTTTTTTGGTTAATATTTATCTATTCATTTTAGAGGGAGAGCACACAAGCAGGGGGAGGGGCAGAAGGAGAGGGAGAGAATCCCAAGCTGACTCCTGGCTGAGCTTAGAGCATGGGGCTCCATCTCACCACCCTGAGATCATGACCTGAGCCAAAATCAAGGTCGGCTGGTCAACCAACTGAGCCACCCAGGGGCCCCCCAACCCAATAGTTTTTTATAAGACAAACTTATCCCTCATCAATTATTTGGTTCTGCTAAGCACAGTTTGTACAAAAGAGGCATATTAAATGTTAACTCTTTTCTTTCAAATGTTAACTCTTAATGTTGTCTCAAAACACACCAAATTAGAAAGCTGAAACTGCTGTCTACTCGTTCCTCTCTCCCAAGCCAAATCAAAATTCTATGACATCATTTGTGTTACTAGACTGAACTATACTTAGCTGAATCTTGAGAGTGAGAGGAATCCGAGAGGTGTCACGTGGGTTGTTTTTCTGCAAAGAATTATTTCTTGAATGTGCATTATATTGTAGAATGACTTGTGTGGGTTAACCTAAAAATTACACCTTTTTTAAACTCCTTGGTCTTCTTTCGCACCTGTCCACAAAGGCAACCCCGATTTCCAGTGGTCAGTAGTGAGGCTGAGGACAGGGCTGGGCTGAGCTTTCATTTGCTTGTTCTTTCTGAAGACTCAGAAGAGAAATTCTATTACCAAGCCAAGTACACACTTAGTTAAGCAACTCTCAGAAATTGGCACGTTCTTTTCAGTTTTGTTGGTGAGTACAAAGTTACTTTTTGAATCATTTTTTTAAAAATTAGTGTTCTTTTTTTATTTTTAAAGATTTTATTTATTTATTTGACAGAGGTCACAAGTAGGCAGAGAGGCAGGCAGAGAGGCAGGCAGAGAGAGAGAGAGGGGGAAGCAGGCTCCCTGCTGAGCAGAAAGCCCGATGGAAGGTCCCAGGACTCTGAGATCATGACCCCAGCCGAAGGCAGAAGCTTTAACCCACTGAGCCACCCAGGCACTCCTTAAATCATTTTGAATGAGAAGATGTTTGCTATTTGAACACTGAACTTTGCTTCTGTTTTCAAAGGGAGGAAAACCATTTGTGGGCTGAAACCTGTTTCACCTTTCTTACACCAATCCCTCCAATCGCAAACAGAATTTAGAGCAGTATAATCCGCATGCCACAATACAGTCTTTAAGGCAGTGTATACCCACTATTTCAGTTGGTTCTCTGGCCAACTCTATAGATAAATGTGGATTGTTTCCATTCTATAGATTAGAAAACTGAGGCTCAGAATCCAGGGTTGAGGATAACTCATTTGGGAATTGGTGAATTAGGAGGAAAAAAAAAAAAGGCATCCTTAAAGACACTTTACTACCACCTGTTGAAAATTCTCTCAATGAATATACAAATCTACAATGATTACATTATGAGCGGTACCCCTAGAGTTGGTCCACAACCTTCACCACAGGACCTGGTTAAGTCATTTGCCAGAAATCAAAGGCCAGCAAGGAGAGGGGGCTGGGCTTAGAACCTGGGTCCTTGCTTCTCTCATTCCCTGAACTCTGATACCTCTTTGATTCCCTCTCAGTGGAGCCTGGGACAGTGTTCATCAGAAAGGAAAGATGAGACCATGTAGAGAAGAATGGACTGAGGGGAAGGAGCACTCATGAACACTTTGAATTAGCCTCCCAATGTTCTGAGCGAAGAGGAACAGGTAACTGTTGCTAACTGCCATTTCCTCACCACCTGTGCCATGGGCATCAGGAGAAGGAAGGCCCAGCAGCCAGGAGGATCTAGCTAGAATTGCTTGGAGATCCACTTTATACATTTAAGCAGACAAGAGGTCTTAAGACTTAGGATTGTCCTAGGATCTTTATAAAAAGCTCTGGCTTCTTTTCTTTTCTCTCTTTCTTTGTGATTCTTACTAAAGGTAGGCCACTTTGTTTGGATCACCATGTTTTCTGAGCACACTTCCCAATGACACCTGGCTTGGTTTGACCTGTGCGTGAAAGTAGAGTCAAGGAAAGAGTCCTCAGACAGTCTGTGTCCACAGTCTCCTCCCTGTAGGGTCAGCGGTTCCTTTGTTTGGTATCAGTCCTGACATCTGGGGTAACAGACTCTGTTCTTCCTTGTTTCTGGGTTACAGTAAGCTCCCTTTGATGGGATGGAGTCCGGATTTCAGCCAGGGTAGCAGTGACTCTTAAAAAAATCCATTATTCACGGGGCGCCTGGGTGGCTCAGTGGGTTAAGGCCTCTGCCTTCGGCTTGGGTCATGATCCCAGGGTCCTGGGATCAAGCCCCGCATCGGGCTCTCTTCTTGGCGGGGAGCCTGCTCCACCACCCCCCCGCCTGCCTCTCTGCTTACTTGTAATCTCTGTCTGTCAAATAAATAAATAAAATCTTTTTAAAAAATCCATTATTCAAATGTGCCTAAAGGAATTATTTGCTGAATTAAAGACAGAAATACCTCTGGCTGTTAGGTAAGAATGATTAGAGGCCCTTGGGAATCCAAGGGAATCTGGGAAAGACTTTCTAAATTGTCTCTTTCAGTTGCCAGAAGGTATGAGATTATTTTGTCCTTCTGTTTATGCATATATTTAACAAACCCTGAATACATATTACATGACAGTCAACCCCTAGTTATCTTGATAGAGAAACTAAAAGTTCTGGGGAGATGAAGAGTCATTCCTGGGAAGATAGTTAGAAATTTTTCTGGATCACTTGGTGAAGTTGTTTGAGACCACTAGGTGGTGATATTACATTGTGAAAATGATACTCTTCCGCGACTGGAGGCCTCTGGTACTTTTCTGAGGCCATGGTCTACACAACCAAAGAGATTTCCTTGTTGAGCACATGGAGAAAACCCCCCACACTTCACCAATGAGATATATGATACAATTTAAATGCTCCGATGAATGAATCAGTCTTTGAACACTTTACATTGTCATTGGAAGAACTATTTCAAGGGTGTGACAAATTCCGGAACATTCCCAGAGGCCTAGGATTTGGGAAAACCGGGAGCTATTGATGATCCTGACAGTTATTCGTTGGGCAGAGACTGAGGGAGGCAGCATTTGACGGGTAGAAAAATAAAAAATTATCTGAGGGTCTTATGCTGTTTTGCGTCTCCTAAATTTATCTTGATCAGATTTTGCCTGTTTAAAAATTCAGGGAGGGTGAAGCGCCGGGCTAGCTCAGTTGGTAGAGCATGAGACTCTTAAAAATTCAGGGAGGGTGGGGCACCTGGGTGGCTAAGTGGGTTAAAGCCTCTGCTTTCGGCTCAAGTCAGGGTCTCAGGGCCCTGGGATCGAGCCCCACATCGGGCTCTCTGCTCGGTGGGGAGCCTGCTTCCTCCTCTCTCTCTCTGCCTGCCTCTCTGCCTACTTGTGATCTCTCTCTCTCTCTGTGTCAAATAAATAGATGTCTTAAAAAAAAAATTCAGGGAGGGTGAAACCAACAAATTCAGATTTTTTTTTTCTTTAATCTATACTATTTCTAAGGATGGCCTTGTTTTGGAAGGGATCTCCACAGATAATTAAAACTCTCTCTCAGCCTCCGGATCAAACCCAACCCCTTTTGCCTGTCTCACAATCCTTACAAGGTAGGT